GTCTCTTGTATCGTAAAGACCAGAGAGACACGTTTAAGTGCTTTGTGACGCTAAGTGGTTGATTAGACTGAGCCTGCCAGTGGTAGGCAGAGAGGTATTTCCTGTTAATAGTGAAGCTTGTATCCCACACTGAGCTAGTGCTTTGTAGACTTCTAGGGCAACATTCTTAGGTGTTCTTTTGCGCTTAGACCAGTTAAGCCATTCTGTATGACATATTTGATGAATAGAATGGTTTTTTTTATTGAATGTAATCAGTTTGAAATAATTTGATGAAATTGACACTGTCTAGTCACCATTACATAACAAATAGACCATAGTTTACATTCCATCTCAGTGTTTTCAACTATTTATTGATTAATTCCACCACCATTATGTTTCTCATAAGCTTGTTAATCAAGCTGTTGATTCAAATCACGAATATTGAATATTGTTCATTGAATTGGTGAATAATCACTTGAGTCATGCGACATATTTCAGATTGCATGCAAATCAACCTGACTGCAGCTTTGAAGCTTTTCAACTATCTAAATATTGTCTCAATCGTTCTAATCTATTGTCTGACAAATCAATATTCAACACATTCAACAAATCTGGCAAAATTAATTTCTTGTAGACCTGTTTGAACAATGGATGATGGACAGACACAGAGTAATTGTATACCATTTTTGAAGGTTCTATTCCATTTTGACAATCTGTGCAAAAGTTCCATTCTCGAGGTAAACCTTGGAATAAAGATGGATATTCATCATTAACATTCATTTGTTGTTTGATGTGCTTTAAGCAATTCTTACATTTAACAAATTCGCCTCCAAAATGGATGGCGTGAAACTCTACCAATGTCACACCATTAATCTCATCAACCTCACAAGCATGGGATTGTACACAACCACCAGAAGAACCCATCATTACAGATTCATTTGTTATAAGGAAATCAGAATTAAGAGATGTGTATTGATGTGAAGTGTTTGGAGCCCAAATATTGTTTCCATTTTCATCTTTCATTTCTGCGTATGGGGCCAATACTTTACCTGTACTAATACATAGCTTTCCAAAACCATGAAACAAATTAGAAACAACATTGTCGTTGGGAGCCCAATTAAAATAGTTTGCACATTCTCCTCTTTTATGGTTGGAAAATTGGTATCCCTCGATCCCTGGATAATGCATAGTGAAGACAAGATCCGAAACTTGAAGGAGTGTAGGACACGGTATCATTAGTACTTTTGACTTTTCTAAATTCTTGGATAGGTATTTCAGTTGGTGCAAGGAAACATCCATATATCTGTGGTCAGGTTCTCGGCGCATTTTTGTGATGCTCCCAAAAAACATGGAATGCTCCCAAAGCTGATTTACCTGTAGGGGTAATTGGATGCGCCAATAACACCGATTTATTACTTAAGCAAATTCACTCAACTTCAACAAAGCATATCTCAATAACAACACTGGATGTTAGAGAAACATACCGTATGGTCATTATTAATTATGTTAACAATCATAATATCAAGTTTGTTACGGATTTGGCTCTTTACTTATCGAGAAAAGTGATTTCAAAATTTTCATATGTGGTAGTAAGACGAGCATGTTTTCTTGGTTAATACAAATAACTGATATTCAATAAAACAGAATCTTGTAGAAAACATCAATTAGAACAAGAATAATAAATAATATTTTTATTTCACTAAGTATTAAATTTAATATTTCCTTTTTTGTAAGGAGCATTGCAAAAATACGGGAAAAACATTTCCACAGATATCCAAAATCTCCTCTCAAAGAAAGTATTGGATCCACATAAGCATCATCCACACTTGGGAAATGTGCTCGTGTTACGGAGTGGTTATATTTCCTTATTCCATTCTGCAAGGCTGATCCAGAGAAGAGCAATTTTCTTTCAATAGGATTCAACTTTTGTAAATAACCATTAGATGCTTCCTCAAAGGTTCCTTTATAAACGAAAGGGGTTTGATCTGTATTCACAACGTGGGAGTTGGTAATTACAACATCGGGAAGTAAATAAAAGCAAGTACCAGAAGCACTTGGATCCTTCCTACTAAGATAGCCAATACGAGCCATTCCACCTGTGGTTTTCATCAAAAAGTCCTTAATATTAGAAAGAAACTCTAATTTTCTTTGGGAGAACTTGGTGGAGGGAGGAATTAAATCACCATTACTATCAATTCTAAACACATTAAAACAA